CCACTTGAAATGGATCTATGCATGTTTTTAAAATGCCACATCAGATTCCATGGCGATCGTGAATAAAACATGTCATTGCCACACTCCTTGTTTGCACATTGACAGAGCTGACTGTGTCCGTCTGTGCCCTGCTACAGCACACATCACAGCATGTGGATCACACTGATTGAGCACATCTGGTTACCTGTATGGTGCTCAGATACAGGATTATTGCACCATGGTGACTGCACATTCTCTCCGAAGACGACTCATAACAGACCTTGCAAATAGCCTTAAAATGTTACATCCAGCAAGTGCACACCCAGGTAACTCCACGTAGTACCGCCTTCTCCAGGCCCCTGTCATCTTGTAAAAGGCCAGAAAAGAACGTGATTTGCAGAAAAATCTAAGGTGGTTTTCACTGGGAGCCACAGTTTGTGCAGGGAAATAGGAACTGCTTTATGTGAGCTTTTCGAGGGGGTCTGTCCATGCCATATCCCTACTGCTGTTGGAAAATTTGGGGGCATCTGTGGGAAGGCACCTGAAGACAGAGTAGAAACTCACATTTTGTTCTCCATGTAGAAACTTATACCTGATTCTCTCCTGTGGCAAAGGATTATATAATATGAAGTTTGCCGGAATTTTTATTTATTTATTTATTTTTTTTCTTTTTCTTTCTTTTATTGCAGCAAGAAGTTCAGACAAGTTTGCTGGAAGTCTCTTTTGTTGTTTGTTTGTTTTGGAAGTTTCTCACACAAAAAGCATTTGTCCCTATTTGACTTGATGATGGTGATTAATTTTTCTCCCATACACATTATTATAATCACATTTTTTTCTTTATATTTTAATATATTTCAATATAATATATAATAATTAACAATCCTGGAATAAATTTTATTCAGAAATTTTGTGTGATTTACCATCACTACATGAAAAGTGCTGATGTTTTATTATGATTATTGCCAAGGATGCTTGATGGAAGTTGGAGATTAAGTTTTTTCTATATTTCATTTTTTCTTGTGTTTAAAAAAATCGGTGTTATACAAGTCTGACAAAATTAGAGATGAAACTTATTCTTTATTTATTTTTTATTTTTCCATGAGTTATTGGTGTACAGGTGGTACGTGGTTACATAAGCTCTTTAGTGGAGATCTGTGAGATTTTGGTTCACCCATCACCCAAGCAATATACACTACGCGATATTTGTAGTCTTTCATCCCTCACCCGCTTCCCACTCTTGCCCTCAAGAGTGCCCCCAGAGTCCGTTGTATCATTCTTGTGCCTTTGGGTCCTCATAGCTTAGCTCCCACATATCAGTGAAAACATATGATGGGAAACTTATTCTTTAAAATGCAGTCGTACACATGAAAGAGATTGTAGAACATGGGAGAAACATGTTACCTGAAGTTTGCATAAAACCTGCCCTTCAAACAAATCAGATTTTATTCAACTTGAGGGATATATTGCTTAACTCTCTCATAATTTGCATGGAAAATGTATGAATCAGTTGAGGAAATAAATGTATTAACGAGGTTTTCTCTTTCTTATTGAGTTACTATTAATAACATTTTTCTATACAATAAGCAGCTATTCTGGAGAAATATTTGGTACTAATAAAGCTTGCCACTTTTTGGTTGGGCGTGGTCACTCATTCCTGTAATCCCAGCATTTTGGGAGGCAGAGGTGGGCAGATCACCCGAGGTCAGGAGTTTGAGACCAGCCTGGCCAACATGGAGAAACCCCATCTGTACTAAAAATACAAAAAATTAGCCTGGCATGGTGGCAAGCACCCGTAGTCCCAGCTACTTGGGAGGCTGAGGCAGGAGAATCGCTTGAACCCTGGAGGCAGAGGTGCAGTGAGGCGAGATGGTTGCCACTGCACTCCAGTCTGGGCGACAGAGCGAGACTCCATCTAAGAAAAAAAAAAAAAAAAAAGATATACCACTTGACCCAGCAATTCCATTACTGGATATATACCTAAAGGAATATAAATTGTTGTATTATAAAGACACGTGCGCGTGTATGTTTGTGCAGCACTATTCACAAAAGCAAGCATGAAATCAACCTAATGCCCATCACTGGTGGACTGGATAAACAAAATATGCTACAAATACACCATGGAATACTGTGCAGCCATAAAAAAGAATAAGCTCATGTTCTTTGCAGGGACATAGATGGAGCTGGAGGCCATTTTCCTTGGGAAACTAACACAGGAACACAAACCCAAATGCCACATGTTCTCACGTATAAGTGGGAGGTAAATGATGAGAACACGTAGATACATCGGGGAACAACACACACCAGGGCCTATGGGAGGGTGCAGGGCGGAAGAAGGGAGAGGATCAGCAAATATGATTAATGGATACTAGAATTAATACCTGGTTATGAAATAATCTGTACAACAAACTCCCTAGGACACATGTTTACCTATGTGACAAACCTGCACCTGTACCTCTGAATTTAAAATAAAAGTGTTTTAAAATGAAAGAAATCTGGCTGGGCACGGTGGCTCACACCTGCAACTCCGGCACTTTCAGAGGCATAGGTGGAAACATCACCTGAGGTCAGGAGTTCAAGACCAGCCTGATCAACATGGTGATACCCCATCTCTGCTAAAAATACAAAAATTAGCCAGGCATGGTGGCAGGTGCCATAATCCCAGCTACTTAGGAGGCTGAGGCAGGAGAATCACTTGAACCCGGGAGGCAGAGGTTTGCAGTGAGCAGAGATCAAGTCATTGCACTCCAGCCTGGGCGGCAGAGCAAGACTTGGTCTCAGAAAAAAGAAATCAATGGACTTGTGAGCACAACTGAATACTAAATAATATAGAAATTTCATAAACATATAGTTAACCAATTTTTAATACATATTACTATATAATTGGTTTCTAGTTATATAAATATGTAAAATACAGTACTACCAACATAGTTTAGCAATATATAGTGTACCAATATCTCTTAACAGAAATATCCCAAATGATAATAATTTTCTAGCTAGACTGAGAAATTATTTTCTCAGTGCAATAAAGTTTACTGGTCCTGCCAGGCGCGGTGGTTCATGCCTGTAATCCCAGCACTTTGGGAGGCCAAGGCGGGTGGATCATGAGGGCAGGAGTTCAAAACTAGCCTGGCCAAGATGGTAAAACCCCATTTCTACTAAAAATACACACAAACAAAAAAAAATTAGCCAGGTGTGGTGGCAGGCACCTGTAATCCCAGCTACTGGGAGCTGAGGCAGAGAATTGCTTGAACCCGGGAAGTGGAGGTTGCAGTGAGCCAAGATCACATCACTGAACTCCAGCCTGGGCGACAGACCAAGACTCCATCTCAGAAACAACTACAACAACAACAACACAAAACAGTTTACTGGTTCTATAATGTGGTAGGCAGGTCTCCAACTCCTGGTGCTACTCCTGCGTGTATGTTATCTGACCTGCCAAAAGGAATGTGGGTGGTAATTTACTGATTAATCAAGCTTACTAGTCATTTGACTTATTTTTTCTTTAAAGAAAACAAGTTTTCCTTTTATCATCAGAACATTCTAATAAAAATATTATTATGAGATTAGCTACCTTTATTCTCTGGGACCTGGAGCACGCTCAGCTCCTCCAGGTAGGTCGGGAGGGAGACCCCCCCACCGCTGTCCCCCGACCTGGGACAGGATACCTCTCACCTCGAGCCCCCTCGTCCGGACCCCCACAGCCCTAAATGCCCCATAGCAGCCCTTCCACGGCTGGCAGAACGGCCTCCTCCCTCCACCAACCCCAAAGACAGGCAGGAACCATCTAGGGCTGGCACACAGCAGGTGCAGTGCGGGGAGAGGGGAGACGCGTCCCCTCCTGCTCACAACCGCCCCGGCGGGCAGAGCGGAGTCCTCTGCGCCAAGGGTGGCACCACCCCGGTCTAGACTCCGAGTGCCCTGAACCCTGAGAAGGGTCACTCCCTTCTCCCCTTCTACAGTGGCTGGGGAGTTGGGTGTCGGGGAGGGAAGGGAGAGGAGCATCGGTGTCGGGTCCTGAGACGACTCACTGTGCCCCCCAGCAGGCGGCATTACACAGTGGCCCGGGAGGACCTCTGGGGCCTCCCGTCTGCGGTGCCCATCTCCCGGGGAGGCTCCTGACCGCTGAGCCGGCAGACACTATTACACAGAAACACTGTCGTCGTCGCCGTGTGCGGAACCAACCAAAGCAAGTCTCTCCAAGTCAAAGTCAGGTTTTGGATTCTTGGTGGCGGCAGGATCCGCTGCAAAAATAGACTGAACTTCTGACATTCTCTTAGTAGCAAAACAGTTACAAGAAAAAAGTTGCAATTTGCGTGCTGTGACTGAAAGGTGCCGTTGACCGGCTGGCCGTGTCACCCGCTGCCCCTGTCACCCGCTGCCCCTGTTTCCAGCTGCCCCTGTCACCCGCTGCTTCTTTACCGGCTTCCCCTGGAGGCTCCGCGGCTTGGTGCCCAGTGCACCTGAACACCTGGGAGCTGCTCCAGCTTGGAGAAGCCGCCCACGCGCCCTGATGGACAAAAATGGGTCTCCAGCTGCGTCCCCAGCTTGGGACTGCGCTCACAGTTTGTGAGACTCAACAGTCCATTCAGCATCTTGCTCTCGGGTTTCCCTGGAGGCAGGCATCTCTGCAGGGGCCAGGGCGGCCAGGGGCTGCAGAGGGTCTGTGACATCCCGCCCAGATACCGCGGTGGGGATACAAGCCTGAGGGTACCTGGAGTGTGGAGAGGCAGAAGAGGTGCAAGGAGAGGCTGCGGTGTGTGCAAGGAACGTGGGGTTGCATCTTTAAAGAGCTGTCGGTCATTCTTCAAGTCCTCCCTCAAGACACCATGGGACCTAGATTCAAAGAGAAGCCGTGTCTCCGCGGTTCCAAGGCGCAGGCGGAGTTCCGGAGCGGTTTTCGGAGTCGCGGGAGCTGGCAGCGCCTCACTGAAGCTCAGCCTGGCTCCCGCCGGCCCATCGAAGCCCCGCAGCCGCCTGCTGTGAAGGTGGCAATGCCACAGTCCTCGGGGCAGGAACGCCCCTCACTGCGTCCTGTCGAGCTGCAGCTGTGGCACCAGGTACTGCACGAAGACGGTGCCTCCGGGGGTTGCGGCTGAGCGCACCTGGGGCACGGCGGCCGGGTAGCTGCAGCCCGCAAAGCCGGCAGCCGTAGCAGGTGGGGCGGCGTATGGGTGCTGGGCGTAGGTGGCCAGTGGGTACTGGGCGTAGGTGGCCGGTGGGGACTGGGCGTAGGTGGCCGGTGGGGATTGGGCGTAGGTGGCAGGTGGGTACTGCGCGAAGGTGGCCGGTGGGCGCTGGGCGTAGGTGGTCGGTGAGTGCTGGATGTAGGTGGCCGGTGGGTGCTGGGTATAGGTGGTTGGTGGGTGCTGGGCGTAGGTGGCCGGTGGGTGCTGGATGTAGGTAGCCAGTGGGTGCTGGGTGTAGGTGGCCGGTGGGCACTGGGCGCAGGTGCCCGGTGGGTACTGGTTGTAGGTGGCCAGTGGGTACTGGGCATGGGTTCGGCTGGCCGGCGTGTACTCCATGTAGGGTGAAGACAGCGATGTGACCGGGGCGGTCAGGATCACCGTTCTAGGCTGCACGGTGACTGGCAGCTGGATGTCCTGCGGGGTCAGTCCGTAAGTCCGCTGGATCGAGGCGGGGTGTAGCTGCGGCACCCCGATGGCAAAGCCCGTTTGGAGGCTCGGCGGCTTGGCGCCCAGATAAGCCAGGTTCTCGTTGGTCTTGCGGCCGTCGATGACGGGGTGGGGGTCTTCACAAGCCCTCTGGGCTGCCGCCGGGTTGGCCATGGTCACGAAGCCGTAGCCGCGGGACTTACCCGTCTGGGGGTCGAAGATGACCACGGCCTCCTTGATGTCGCCGAAGTCCTCGAAGTACTTCCTGAGTGAGGCGTCGGTGGTGCAGTACCGCAGGCTGTCCACGAAGATCCTGGTGAACTTGGTGTTTTGCGAGCGGCGCATGGCGCGCGGGACGGCCGGGGGTGGTGTGGTGCCCGCCCTCGGGGCGCGCGGTGCGACTGCAGCAGCACTGGGGACGTCCCGCCTCCTACGGACCCTGGGCGCGCGGTCCAATAGTCAGGCACCACCGCTCGCGCGCCGCGATCCTTTTGACTTTTTTTTCCCTTCCCACCCGCCCCCGTCCCTTTTTTTTTTTTTTTTTTTTTTTTTTTTTTTTTTTAGACAATCTCGTTCTGTCGACCAGGCTGAAGGGCAGTGTCGCGATCTCGGCTCACTGCAGCCCCCACATGGTCGACAGAGCGAGACTCAGTCTCAAAATAAATAAATAAATAAATAAAAGGTGGGGGGTGCGGGTGGGAAGGAAAATGTTATCCTGGATTATCTGGGTGGGTCCTACGTGTCTTTGAAGCAGAAATATACGTCAGAGAGATACAATAGCAGAGGAAGTTAGAACTCAGGAAGGTGATTTCACATGCTGTAGCTTTGAATATATGGGGGCTATGATAAAGAAATGAATTCTGACAACAATCTGAATGAGTTTAGAAGTAAATTCCACCCCAGAGCCTCAACAGTAGAGCCCAGGGCTCTGACCTTGATTTTGGCCTTGGGAGACCAAACAGAAAAACCTGACACATTTCTCATCTCTGAACTGTGAGAAAATAAATGAGTGTTGCAGTAAACTGCTGGCTAAACTGTGGCCATTCATAAAAAGAAAATTAATACACACCTGAACAAATGGAAAGATAAAATATTTAAACCCTAAAATAAAAAGCAGCCATTTCTATCCAGACATAATTTTCATCAGAGGTGTATTTTCCTGCATATACAATTTCATAAATATCTAAAACTGCATCTGAAATTACATATAAAATACATATGTATATACACACCATTCAGATATCCTGTTCATTATTCAAATTTTAAATATATATTTGCAGGGTTAGATTTCTGTCTAATTCAATAGCTTTCACCCATCAGTGATATTTTATACCAGTTGAAATAGATCTACGCATGTTTTAAAACGCCACATCAGATTCCATGGTGATTATGAATAACCGTGTTATTGCCACATTCCCTGTTTGTACATTGACAGAGCTGACTGTGCCCGTCTGTGCCCTGCTACAGCACACATCACAGCATGTGGATCACACTGATTGAGCACATCTGGTTACCTGTGTGGTGCTCAGATACAGGATTATTGCACCATGGTGACTGCACATTCTCTGCAAAGACCACTGATAACAGATCTTGCAAATAGGCATCAAATGTCACAACGCAACAAGTGCACACCCAGGTAACTCCACATAGTACCTCCTTCTCCAGGCCCCTGTCATCTTGTAGAAGGCCAGAAAAAAATATGATTTGCAGAAAAATCTAAGGTGGTTTTCACTGGAAGCCACAGTTCGTGGAGGGAAATGGGAACTGCTTTATATGGGCTTTCCGAGGGGGTCAGTCCATCCCATATGCCCACCACTGTAGGAAAATCTGGGGGCATCTCTGGGAAGTCACAGGAAGACAGAGTAGAAACTCACGTTTTGTTCTCCATGTAGGAACTCACCATTCCTGATTCTCTCCTGCGGCAAAGGATTATATCATATGATGTTTGCTGGAAGTTTCTTAGACAAAAAGCATTTGTCCCTATTTGACATGATGATGGTGATTAATTTTTCTCCCGTACACATTCTTATGATCACATTCATTTTCTCTTTGTATTTTTATTCCAATGTAACATGTAATATTGAACATTGCTCGAATAAATTTTATTCAGAAATTGTGTGTAATTTGCTATCACAAGATGAAAAGTGCTGATGTTTTATTTTTGTTATTGCCAAATATGCTTGATGGAAGTTGGAGATTTTTTTCTAAACGTCATTTTTTTCTTGCGTTTAAAAAAGTCACTGTTATACGAGTCTGACAAAATTAGAGATGAAACTTATTCTTTATTTATTTTTTATTTTTTCGTGAGTTATTGGTGTACAGGTGGTACGTGGTTACATAAGTTCTTTAGTGGAGATCTGTGAGATTTTGGTGTACCCATCACCCAAGCAATATACACTGAACCATATTTGTAGTCTTTTATCCCTGACCCCCCTCCCACTCTTCCGCATAAGCCCCAAAGTCCGCTCTATCATTCTTATGCATTTGCATCCTCCTAGCTTAGCTCCCCCGTATCAGTGAGAACATATGATGAGAAACTTATTCTTTAAAACGCAGTCATACATATGAAAGAGATTGTATATCATGGGAGAAACATGTTAACTGAAGTTTGCATAAAACCTGCCCTTCAAACAAATCAGATTTTATTCAACTTGAGGGATATGTTGCTTACCTCCCTCATAATTTGCATTATTATGTATTAATCAATTGAGGGGATAAATGTACTAATTGGGTTTTTTCTTTCTTATTGAGTTACTATTAATCACATTTTTTTCTACAAAATAAGCAGCTATTCTACAGAAATATTTGGTGCTAATGAAGTTTACCACTTTTTGGCCAGGCATGGTAGCTCATGGCTGTAATCCCAGCAGTTTAGGAGCCTGAGGTGGGCAGATCACCTGAGGTCAGGAGTTGGAGACCAGCCTGGCCAACATGGTGAAAACCTGTCTCTACTAAAAATACAAAAATTAGCCAGGCGTATTAGCAGGCACCCATAATCCCAGCTACTCAGGAGGCTGAGGCAGGAGAATTGCTTGAATCAGGGAAGTGGTGTTTGTACTGAGCCAAGATCACATCATTGTACTCCAGCCTGGGCTATAAGTGAGACTTGGTGTCAGGAAAAAAAAAAAAAGCAGAAAGAAAGAAATCAATGGACTTGTGAGCACAACTGAATACTAAATAATATAGAAACATATAGCTTTCCAATATTTAAATATATATTGCTATATAATTATACTGATAGCTAGTTACATAAATATGTAAAATATAGTATCACCAACATAGTTTAGCAGTATATAGTATACTAACTTCTCTTTTTTTGTTTTGTTTTGTTTATTTTTTATTTAGTATACTAACTTCTCTTAACAGAAAATTCCATATGGTAGTAATTTTCTAGCTAGATTGACAGATTATTTTCTCCGTGCAAAAATGTTTATTGGCCCTGCCAGGCACAGTGGTTCATGCCTGTAATTCCAGCACTTTGGGAGGCCAAGAAGGGTGGATAACCTGAGGTCAGGAGTTCAAAAGCAGCCTGGCCAAGATGCTGAGACCCTGTTTCTACTAAAAACTATTTAAAAAAAAAATTTTAGCCAGGCGTGGTGGTGGGTGCCTGTAATCCCAATTATCTGAGGCAGAGAATTGCTTGAACGCTGGAGGCGGAGGTTGCAGTTAGCCGAGATCATGCCACTGCACTCCAGCCTGGGTGACAGAGCAAGACTCTGTCTCCGAAAAATGGAACAAAACAAACAAACAAACAAAAAAGCTTTACTGGTTTTATAATTCGGTAGGCAGGTCTCTAACTCCTGGTGCTACTCCTGCGTGTATGTTATCTGACCTGCCAAAAGGAATGTGGATGGTAATTTACTGATTAATCAAGCTTACTAGTCATTTGACTTATTTTTTCTTTAAAGAAAACAAATTTTCTTTTTATCATCAGAACATTCTAATAAAAATATTATTATGAGATTAGCTACCTTTATTCTCTGGGACCTGGAGCATGCTCAGCTCCTCCAGGTAGGTCGGGAGGGAGACCCCCCCACCGCTGTCCCCCGACCTGGGACAGGATACCTCTCACCTTGAGCCCCCTCGTCCGGACCCCCACAGCCCTAAATGCCCCATAGCAGCCCTTCCACGGCTGGCAGAACAGCCTCCTCCCTCCACCAACCCCAAAGACAGGCAGGAACCGTCTAGGGCTGGCACACAGCAGGTGCAGTGGGGGGAGAGGGGAGACGCGTCCCCTCCTGCCCACAACCGCCCCGGCGGGCAGAGCGGAGTCCTCTGCGCCAAGGGTGGCACCACCCCGGTCTAGACTCGGAGTGCCCTGAACCCTGAGAAGGGTCACTCCCTTCTCCCCTTCTACAGTGGCTGGGGAGTTGGGTGTCGGGGAGGGAAGGGAGAGGAGCATCGGTGTCGGGTCCTGAGACGACTCACTGTGCCCCCCAGCAGGCGGCATTAGACAGTGGCCCGGGAGGACCTCTGGGGCCTCCCGTCTGCGGTGCCCATCTCCCGGGGAGGCTCCTGACCGCTGAGCCGGCAGACACTATTACACAGAAACACTGTCGTCGTCGCCGTGTGCGGAACCAACCAAAGCAAGTCTCTCCAAGTCAAAGTCAGGTTTTGGATTCTTGGTGGCGGCAGGATCCGCTGCAAAAATAGACTGAACTTCTGACATTCTCTTAGTAGCAAAACAGTTACAAGAAAAAAGTTGCAACTTGAGTGCTGTGCCGTTGGCCGGCTGGCCGTGTCACCCGCTGCCCCTGTCACCCGCTGCCCCTGTTTCCAGCTGCCCCTGTCACCCGCTACTTCTTTACCGGCTTCCCCTGGAGGCTCCGCAGCTTGGCGCCCAGTGCACCTGAACACCTGGGAGCTGCTCCAGCTTGGAGAAGCCGCCCACGCGCCCTGATGGAGAAAAAGGGTCTCCAGCTGCGTCCCCAGCTTGGGACTGTGTTCACAGTTTGTGAGAATCAACAGTCCATTCAGCATCTTGCTCTCGGGTTTCCCTGGAGGCAGGCATCTCTGCAGGGGCCAGGGCGGCCAGGGGCTGCAGAGGGTCTGTGACATCCCGGCCCGATACCGCGGTGGGGATACAAGCCTGAGGGTACCTGGAGTGTGGAGGGGCAGGAGAGGTGCAAGGAGAGGCTGCGGTGTGTGCAAGGAACGTGGGGTTGCATCTTTAAAGAGCTGTCGGTCATTCTTCGAGTCCTCCCTCAAGACACCATGGGACCTAGATTCAAAGAGAAGCCGTGTCTCCGCGGTTCCAGGGTGCAGGCGGAGTTCCGGAGCGGTCTTCGGAGTCGCGGGAGCTGGCAGAGCCTCACCGAAGCTCAGCCTGGCTCCCGCCGGCCCATCGAAGCCCCGCAGCCGCCTGCTGTGAAGGTGGCAATGCCACAGTCCTCGGGGCAGGAACGCCCCTCACTGCGTCCTGTCGAGCTGCAGCTGCGGTGCGGGGTACTGCATGAAGGTGGTGCCTGCGGGGGTTGCGGCTGAGCGCACCTGGGGCACGGCGGCCGGGTAGCTGTAGCCTGGGAAGCTGGCAGCTGTAGCAGGTGGGGCGGCGTATGGGTGCTGGGCGTAGGTGGCCAGTGGGTACTGGGCGTAAGTGGCCGGTGGGTACTGGTCGTAGGTGCCCTGTGGGTACCGGCCATAGTTGCCCGGTGGGTGCTCGTCGTAGGTGGCCGGTGGGTGCTGGGCGCAGGCCCGGCGGGCCGGGGTGTACTCCATGTAGGGCGGGGACAGCGATGGGACCGGGGCAGCCAGGATCGCCGCGCCGGGCTGCACGGTCGCTGGCGGGTGGATGTCGTCCGGGGTCAGCGGGTAAGTCTGCTGGATCAAAATGGGGCGCAGCCTCCGCACCCTAGTTCCAAAGCCCGTCGGGAGGCTCCGCCGCCTGGCGCCCAGGTAAGCCAGGTTCACGTTGGTCTTGCGGCCGTCGATGACGGGGTGGGGGTCTTCACAAGCCCTCTGGGCTGCCGCCCGGTTGGCCATGGTCACGAAGCCGTAGCGGCGGGACCTGCCTGTCTCGGGGTCGGTGATGACCACGGCCTCCTCGATGTCGCCGAAGTCCTCGAAGTACTTCCTGAGCGAGGCGTCGGTAGTGCGGTACCGCAGGCTGCCCACGAAGATCTTGGTGAACTTGGTGTTCCTCTGCCAGCGGTGCATGGCGCCGGGGTCGGCCGGGGACGGCGGGGTGCCAGCGCTCGGGGCGCGCGGAGCCGGCTGCCGCAGCATTGGGGGTCCGCTGCCTATTGTCCCGGACCGCACGGGGCTGCACTCAGGGTGGGCGGCTGGGAGCGCGCGGGGCGGCAAGAGGCGCGGGTCCCCCGGCCAGGCACCAAGCTCGCGCGCCGCTCCAGCAGTGAGCGCAAAGCTGCGCTGCGCTCCTTTTTGACTTTTTTTTTTTTTTTTTTTTTTTTTTTTTTTTTTTTTTTTTTGAGACTGAGTCTCGCTCTGTCGACCAGGCTGGAGTGCAGTGTCGCGATCCCGGCTCACTGCAGCCCCCGCATGGTCCACAGAGCGAGACTCAGTCTCGAAAAGAAAAAAAAAAAAAAGGAGAAGAAAAGTAAGTTATCGGTCATTATCTGAGTGAGTCCTATGTGTCCTTGAGGCGGAAATAAACGTCAGAGAGATGCAATAACAGAGGAAGCTAGAACTCAGGAGCACGAGAGTGGTTTCACTTGTTGTAGCTTTGAATGTATGGGGACCAGACTGTTGAATTCTGACAACAGTCTGAATGAGATCAGAAGTAAATTCCGCCCCCAGAGCCTCAAGAATATAGCCCATGGCTCTGACCTTGATTTTGGCCTTGGTAGACCAGAGTATTCAGAAAAACCTGACACAGTTCTCATCTATGAACTGTGAGAAAATAAATCAGTGCTGTAGTAAATTGCTGGCTAAACTGCGGTCATTTGTAAACAGAAAATTAATACAGACGTGAACAAATGAACCATAAAATATTTAAACACTGACATATAAAACAGCCATTTATATCTAGACATCATAATTTTCATCAGTTTGAGGTGTATTCTTCATATACAATTTCATATCTAAGATTGCATCTGAAATCACATACAAAATATGTATGTATATACACACCATTCAGATATCCTGTTCATTATTCAATATTTAAGTATACATTTACAGAGTTAGATTTCTGGCTAATTCAATAGCTTTCACCCATCAGTGACGTTTTGACACCACTTGAAATAGATCTATGCATGTTTTTAAAATGCCACATCAGATTCCATGGCGATTGTGAATAAAACATGTCATTGCCACATTCCCTGTTTGCACATTCACAGAGCTGACTGTGTCCATCTGTGCCCCGCTACAGCACACAGCACAGCATGTGGATCACACTGACTGAGCACATCTGGCTACCTGTGTGGTGCTCAGATACAGGATTATTGCATCATGGTGACTGCACATTCTCTGCAAAGACCACTGATAATAGATCTTGCAAATAGCCACAAAATGTCACACCCCAACAACTGCGTACCAGGTAACACCCAGTACTACCTTCTTTAGATCCCAGTCGTCTTGTAGAAGGTCAGAAAAGAATGTAATTTGCAGGAAAATCTAAGGTGGTTTTCACGGGGAGCCACAGTTTGTGTAAGGAAATGAGAACTACTTTATACGGACTTTTTGCTGGAGTGACTCCATCCCATATCCCCACTTCTGTACGAAAATCTGGGGGCATTTCTGGGAAGGCACCTGAAGACAGGGTAGAAACTCACATTTTCTTCTCCATGTAGGAACTTATCGTACCTGATTCTCTCCTGTGGCAACGGATTATATCATACAAAGTTTGCTGGAAGTTTCTTAGACAAAAAACATTTGTCCCTATTTGACATGACAATGGTGATTAATTTTTCTCCCATACACATTCTTATGATCATATTATATTTCTCTTTACATTTGAATATATTTGTATATGTAATACTGATCATTGCTGGATTAAATTGCATTCAGAAATTTTGTGTAATTTACCATCACTACATGAAAAGTGCCAATGTTTCATTTTTAGTATGGCCAAGCATGCTTGATGGAAGTTGGAGATGACGTTTTGTCTATATTTTACTTTTTCTTGCATTTAAAAAAATCTGTGTTACGCAAGTCTGACAAAATTAGAGATGAAACTTATTCTTTTTTATTTTTTCATAAGTTATTGGAGTGCAGGTGGTATTTGGTTCCATGAGTAAGTTTTTTAGTGGTGATTTGTGAGATTTTGGTGCATCCATCACCCGAGAAGAATACACTGCACCCTATTTGTAGTCTTTTATCCCTCACCCTCCTCCCACTCTTCCCTGGAAGGCCTCTAAGTCCACTGTATCATTCTTATGCATTTTCATCCTCATAGCTTAGCTCCCACATATCAGTGAGAACATACAATGAGAAGCTTACTCTTTTCTTTAAAATGCAGTCGTAGATATGAAAGAGGTTGTGGAACATGGGAGAAACATGTTACCTGAAGTTTTCAGAAAACCTGCCCTTCAAACAAATCAGATTTTATTCAGCTTGAGGGATATATTGCTTAACTGTCCCATAATTTGCATGGAAAACATATTAATTAATTTAGAGGATAAATGCATTCATTAGGCTTTCTCTTTCTTATTGAGTTACTATTAATAACATTTTTCTACAAAATAAGCAGCTATTCTAGAGAAATATTTGGTGCTAAAAAAGCTTTCACTTTTTGGCAGGGCACGGTGTCTCAGGCCTGTAATCCCAGCATTTTGGGAGGTAGAGGAGGGCAGACCACCTAAGGTCAGGAGTTCGACACCAGCCTGGGCATCATGGTGAAACCTCTTCTCTACTAAAAATACAAAAATTAGCCAGGCACGGTGGCGGGCGCCTGCAGTCCCAGCTACTCGGGAGGCTGAGGCAGTAGACTCACCTGAACCCAGGAGATGGATGTAGCAGTGAGCCAAGATCTCACCATTACACTCCAGCCTGGGATATAGAGCAAGACTTGGTCTCAGAAAAAAAGAAAGAAAGAAAGAAATCAGTGGACTGGTGAGCACAACTGAATGCCAAATAATACAGAAATTTCATAGAAATATTTAAACATATTTAATATTATATTTATACATTTGTTTAATACCAATATTTAAATACCTATTACTATATAACTATATTGATTTATCATTTTATAAATATGTAAAATATGTATCACCAATATAGTTCAGCAAAATATAGTATACCAATATCTCTTAACCGAAATATCCCAAATGTTAAGAAGTTTCTAGCTAGATTGACAAATTATTTTCTCAGTGCAAAAAGTTTACTTGTCCTGTCAAGTGCGGTGGCTCACACCTGTAATCCCAGCACTTTGAGAGGTCGCAAAGGGTGGATCACCTGAGGTCAGGAGTTCAAAACCAGCCTGGCCAAGATGGTGAAGCCCTGTTTCTACTAAAAACAAAATTAAAATAAATTACCCGTGCCTGGTGGCAGGGGCCTGTAATCCCAGCTACTCGGGAGCCTGAGACAGAGAATTGCTTAAACCTGGAAGGCGGAGATTGCAGTGAGCTGAGATCGTGCCACTGCACTCCAGCCTGGGCCACAGAGTGAAACTCTGTTTCACAAAAAATAAATAAATAAATAAATAAATAATTTAAAAAGTTTACTGGCTCTATAATGTTTTAGGCAGGTCTCCAACTCCTCGTGCTACTACTGTGTTTCTGTTATATTACCTGCCAAAAAGAATTTGGCTGGTAATTTGCTGATTAATGAGAGTTACTAGTCATTTGACTTTTTTTTTTCTTTTGAGATTGAGTCTCGCTCTGTTGACAGGCTGAAGCGCAGTGGCGCGTTCACGGCTCACTGCGGCCCCCGCCTGGTCGACAGTGCGAGACTCAGTCTCAAAAGAAAAAACAAAAAACAAAAAACTAAAAGAAAGTTATCCTGGATTATCTGCGTGGGTCCTGTGTGTCCTTGAAGCAGAAATATATGTCAGAGAGATGCAGTAGCAGAGGAAGTTGGAACTCAGGAGCACAATGGTGAATTCCGAGAACAATCTGAATGAGCTTAGAAGTAAATTCTGCCCCCAGAGCCTCAACAATAGAGCCCATGGCTGTGACCTTGATTTTGGCCTCGGGAGACCAGAGTACCCAGAAAAACCTGACACAGTTCTAACCTATGAACCGGCTAGAAAACAAATCAGCGCTGTTGTAAACTGCTGGCTAAACTGTGGTCAACTGTAAATAGAAAATTAATACACACCTGAACAAATGTAAAGATAAAATATTTAAACACTAAAATAAAAAGCAGCCACTTATATCCAGACATTATAATTTTCATCAGTTTGAAGTGTATCCTTCTGCATATACAATATCATAGAATACCTAAAATTGCATCTGAAATCACATACAAAATATATATTATATACATACCATCCATTATTCAATATTTAAATATACATTTAAATTTTATGTATCCTGCTCATTATTCAATATTTAAATATACATTTGCAGGGTTAGATTTCTGTCTAATTCAATAGCTTTCATCCATCAGTGGTTTTTACGCCACTTGAAATAGATCTACGCATTTTTTTAAAATGCCACATCAGATTCCATGGTGAACACTCCTTGTTTGCACATTGACAGAGCTGACTGTGTCCGTCTGTGCCCTGCTACAGCACACATCACAGCATGTGGATCACACTGATTGAGCACATCTGGTTACCTGTGTGGTGCTCAGATACAGGATTATTGCACCATGGTGACTGCACATTCTCTGCAAAGACCACTGATAATAGATCTTGCAAATAGCCATAAAATGTCACATCCCAACAAACGTGCACCAGGTAACTCCCCCTAGTACTACCTTCTCCAGGCCCCTGTCATCTTGTAGAAGGCCAGAAAAGAATGTGATTTGCAGGAAAATCTAAGGTGATTTTCACTGGGAGTCATGGTTTGTGGAGGGAAATGGGAACTGCTTTATATGGGCTTTTTGCTGGGAAAATTTGGGGGCATCTCTGGGAAGGCACCTGAAGACAGGGTAGAAACTCACATTTTGTTCTCCATGTAGAAACTCATCATACCTGATTCTCTCCTGTGGAAAAGGATTATATCATATATGTTTGCTGGAAGTTTCTTACACAAAAAGCATTTGTCCCTATTTGACATGACGATGGTGATTAATTTGTCTTCCATACACATTGTTACGATCACATTATTTTTCTCTTTATATTTTCTTTTTTTAAAAAATATTTTCTCTTTTTCAGGGTAACTAGGTTCTAAACCTGGTCTATCTCTTTATATATATACGTGTATATATACATATATATACATACATATATACGTATATACATCTATATATATATATATATATATATATTTTTTTTTTTTTTTTTTTTTTTTGAGAAGGAGTTTCGC